ATAGATATATATCAATCCGAAGAAATCGACAAGGTGGGACAATAAAGGTTTAATTAAATTTGGTGTAACGAAAACTAGTTCATGAGATCCCGGTGGGACTATCAGGATTTCCGTGATGGTTAAGTAATTAGGTATTTACCTACTAAACTTAGGATCATCTAGAATCGAAACGGGGCAAACACGCTTCATCTCGTGGTAGATACTAGCCGTGCAGCGCAATGCTTAACGGCAATACCGGATGTAAAGCTCTAAATATTAATCAAGTATTGAGGACGTAGCTGGTCTTCATATATTTCAACTATTTTATATGAGCAGCCGCGGACTGTTTCACTGAATGAATAGCCACGTAGTTAGATTAACAGCGAAGGCTGTTAGCATTACTGAATGAGTTTTCGTAGTTTGTGAAGATAAGATTGAAGATAGTACCGGTTTTTTGTATATATGGGATTGTCGACGATGCAAAGAAACTAGAACAAAACTTTTTGCTACCAGTTCACATTAGAAGAAGTCCTGTGAAGATAATAGGAGGCTAGCTTGTAGTAACTCGTTGAACTCAGTATAAAGTACAAGCATCCTAATAAAAATGAGAAGCAGAATAAATCAGTAAAAAACAGAGTGGTAAAGCGATGGCGTTTATTTGAGTTGTATGGTGTGACATCTATGGTCACAATCTTAGCCACAGAATAATGTGCTGTGTTACCTCATGATAGGGCGAACCTTATATTCAACCAAAAAACGTACCTTTGTTGATACGATTTATCCTCTCCTTGGGTTTTTATCTTGGGCTTTATAATCTATCACTATCATTCCCACTTAACTGTAGAAAATTTTTGGATAACTGATGCGCGACACGGTATTGACGAGGTAGGTGTTGCCAGTATATCTAGACTGACTTCCCGAGTAATTTTGTTAACCGTTAAGTGTTTCTGCTTTCGGGCGGTGGTAATCTTCTCAAAGTCGGAAATAATGGTAGCTCGACTTTGCACCTGGGAGCAAGGCACAGACGTCTACTATCCAATATTAACAACCAGTGGGCTAAAGCTATCCAATACACTTCCAATCCAATAGGGATCTACGGCCTAGGATTTACCGTATGTAGATAACGCAGACGTCTGCTAAGAGTACGATACCCTGATGAGCTATATACCGTGTGTTACATTTTAAGACAATTCTTCGATATTTTGTGACAGAGAGTACACTTTCTATTTGAACCCTATATTTTTAGACCGAAACGCTTGCGTGCCTTTGGGCAGCAAATGTCAATGCAGCTGAGTTAAATGAACTGCGTTTGTTAAATATCAATGCTCATATCTGCGTATACATTGCCGGGGTCGATGCAGATAGATGTATAGTTGTAATAACAGATCGTAGTGAGCACCACTAATTTTTTCAGAATATTATCGATGTTCAATTAATTTATGCTTACGCAGAATTTACACTTTACACAATGCATAAAATCGTTAGCCTATTATAGCTAGGACATTTTTCTGGTCGAAATCGCAACAGGGCTATTCTCGGCGTTTATACATTAAGGACGTCCTATTAAATTAGCGGTACCGCGAGCTTGACAATAGACGCATGTTAAAATCGCCCGCCAAATTTCGCGTAACTCGCGGCAAACTCATGATGTTGATAGCACAGAATGTAACATGTTATCGAACTATTACAAAAATTCTACCTTAAATGAAGAAAAAGTGGCGAGTGGATCCTTTATGACAAGATGGACATGGATTCGGATTACAAAGAAAGGTTATGAAAAGACAAAGAATTATATTTATAGTGATCTAATAAATAAAACCAAAGCTCTAAAAGAGTGGGCTCGACCGTATTATAAACGATGAAGTAGTTTCTCTCTCAAAAGTTAGCGTAAGGCAATCCAGCAGTTGTCTCCTGTGAAGATATGAATAAAAAGTATTTTCTATATCATCAAAACTAAATAGTGTACTTTTTTTTAATCAATTAGTACTATTGAAATATAAGCTATACTAGCTAAGAGTTAGGGATGTGTTTGAAGAATAAATGTAAATAGAGCAACAAATGACATGAATAGTCGTTGTGGATTCGGACTGTCGCGTCCCAAAAGCTGAGTGAAATCTGAATATAACTGTTATAAGAATAATTGTTTAATGATGCAATTTTAAATAATAATAATCAGCGTGTTAAAAAAAAAACGCCAAAACGCCGGTAGAGTTCAAAGTTGTTCTATATATCTGAATTTTCTAATTTCATATTCATTTTAGTATTATACTATCGCTGATTGATACTGAATCAAAATAAAATATAAGAATTAAAAATATTTTCTAATGTAAGCCATAAAAAGCACCAACTCCAGGTCGGAACAAGCTCATACGAATCGGGCTCATTGATGCAACGACAATTGCAACAATAATAACTTCACACCTTTCGAGCATTTAGAGTATCCTCGAATTATGTATAATCGAACAAGCTGTTTACACACCTGTATTTGCCAAATTTACCTGTAGAAAAGATGATCAGCAGATGATCTATATAGTTTTTGTAAAATAAGCTCTCCACTTATGTTTATTCAAATAAACATAGTCACTTGCGAACATCAGTGTAGAATGTCATATTTACCTTTTTTATGTTTCTGGTTTATTTTATCTTATATTTTAAAGAATAGAAAAATTAAACTCTCATATGTGCCGATCAAAAATCCATAAATAGAAACTTGTGTTCAAGTTAGCAAGATCTAGTTTCATTCAGACGCTTTGATGACGTATGCAGGGAGCGTAGGACGATCACTGCGTATAGAAATATAAAGAATAACATATAATTTTTTTGCCATTAGCTGTGGTACCGATGGGCAATACGAGTTTTAATGGGAAGGATCATGGACATAGACTACTGGATAAGTCCTTAAGTAAAAAATCAAAAACCTGTATTTAGTATCATTAAATGTCTCAAGGGTTCAAGCTAATATATATATATATATCATTACATACATGCCCGAAGTTAAATTCAGTATTCTGCGAAAGGTGACGCAGTGTTTATATATATATATATATATATATATATATACACTGTATTAATATATTTTATTTTGAAAGTAATTAGTTTAAATTTAACTTGAAATCTTTTTATCGTATTTTCATGATATTAAAAATACATGTCTATAATTTTTTCAAATAATCATATTGTAAGACTTTTGTAACTAAAACAACTAACGTAAATACTATATATATATATATATTTTTTTTTTTATATTACATATATATATATATATATACGTAATAAAAAAAAAGCAATCTATAGTGCTCAATAAAACTCTCTAAAAAACTCAAAAATTACTATTTTGCTTATATAAAAAGCGTATACAACTTACTGTACATTGTTGTACACTTTATTTAAAATGAACGTAATTTATTAAAACTAAATTATCACTAAAACATAAAAATGACAAAGCAAAAAATAACTATAACTTACAATGTAAATAATAGAATCAATCACCAGATAATCATCAATCAGAATAATTTTAATAACGTGATTATTGATCTCGTAAAGAAATGTGATTCAATACTAGGTATACTTCCATTAATACAAATCCAATATGGGCTTAAACTGAAAGTTTGTAACGTGCAAAGATTAAGATAGTCGAATATGCTGCAAAATAATTTTCATTTCGGCACGTTTTCCAAATGTGATATCATATCTGACGTATGTCAGTGTTTTCCTGCGGGTTTGTTGTGGAAACCCGGTCAACAGCATATTAGACAGCCTTACGCTAAATGGCATAACAGTTCATACATAATACGAAACTACTGGCAAAGTGACATCTTGCATGAACGACAATTTACTTTGAACGAATAAGCCAGATAATTCTTTAAAAGCCAGTTTTGAAACGACTAGCTAAAAATTCAAACCTCTACCGAATGATGCAACTAAAACCTTTCCTCAGATGTAGTTCAATATGCTGAAACCACCTAGTCGGCCTGCGTATATATTTACGCTTATCTATATGTAATTCCTATGTTGCTATTAGCAGTATTAGCAAAATCTGGCCATCGAACTAAATACATAAAAAAATTGAACGCTTTATTATTAAACGTAAATATCAAGGCACAAGTATCGCTCAAGAATAGTCTCGAACAAATAAGGTATGGTTGAGGTTGCGTGGTCACGAAATGCGTAATAAATGTTCTCGAGAGATGTAAATTGTGATCAATTGTGTGCCCAGGGTCGACCAAGAAAAATAAATTTAATTTGCGATAGATAAACTAAATATCATGTGAGGGCTACATTTAAATGGCGAGCACTCTATAGACTTTAGGATACGTAAAATGCGATAGTTCTACGGAAATGAAGAAACTGGATCCTCTGAAAAAACCTAGAACAGGACCGGATAGAATTGCTGATTTCAGAAACATCGCAGACAGTAAATGTAAGGGGAGTAGATTTCTTGCGTTAAAATCTTCACCCACCTAAAGAAATTTTGCGCCGAGACGAAAAACATCAATTAACGCTGTATCGTAACCAAAACGGAAAACCTTCCGTAGTTCAGGAGACTCCTATATCTACTGGAGAAACATACGAAGGTATGAGACATTAAGCCAGACCTAAATAAGGAGGCAATTTTTTCCATAGTGCAGCGGTAGCGAAGTGCCGATTTATATTAAGGACATAAAATTGTCCAGGCTGAAACGTCAGATTGAACGTGAACACATGTTTACGTCCTAGTAAAAGGACGAACGATGAGAAGGCGATAAAGTTAGCTATAACCCTTTCGCCTTTTATGTTCCTTTGATGGTATTGAATCCTCTCTTCTTACAGATTTTTCGAACTATACTATATGGCCGTATGAGGCTTGCTATAGAACGATCAGCTAAGTGTTAGCTATGAAACGCTGTTTAGATCAGTTAAATACTTGTAAATTAGAGTACTTCGTGTCATTTCTTCAACACATGATATTGTTCGTTATAATGAATGGCCTAGAAAACTATTTTTAAAAGAAGTTACTGATGCGTATTTCGAATTCTAAGGACGATCATTTGGGTCTATTCTACTCTCGTTCTGCATGCCTTAACAGAAATGCAGCTGTACAAATTCACGTACTGGAATCGAATTTTTTTGTCAAATACCTAACTATTGATGTTTACTTCAGAGGGATCGACTGACTGGCATCATACAGATAAGTAGTAACAGCCATTTTTACATATGACATGTATTTTTATTATATTCCCATTACCAATAGGATTATTCCAGGTTACCTACGAATAATAATCTTCTATATTCACAAGCTATACACAATTTGTATCTGGTATATTCAGATATTTGGACCCACCTACTTAATGTATGGCTCACGTATTTACTTTCCATAATACACATTTCTAATAATAAATTCCCTAGAGTCTAATGTATGATTCCACATTAGTGTGCCAACATCAGATATACAGTAAAATGTCACATTAATTTAATATATTGTATCAATCGCAAGATCCAATCTATGAAGCAAACACATAAAAAGCGCGTTAGTCCATGTCGTCCTTCAGCACTGGATCTCGTTTGTCAATAGTACCCGTATTAGCACATTATGCCATTACATGTGCCATCTACCTTTTCATTATGTTCTTCATTACGTTCCTATAAAATGCATCTATCTGTCGTGCATGACTGTGTTAGGACATTACGATGCTGACTTTTCCGCGTTGCTACTGTTCCTTTTGAGCTCTATCTAGAATACAGTTTGTTTTGTTCCCGGCGAATAGTTACGATGGCAAAAGATCAAAATCATCACTGACGTGCACCATTGGAACGCAGAGGTTTAGATCAAGTGCTAGATTGCGTTCCAAGTTGTGCTTGTCCTTTTCACTACCGCCGTTTCGTTCTTTGTCACTGGTAACGCCCTTGTCGTCAGCTTTGACATCACTCTTTGAATCCCCTTGGCTATCTGGGGTTGCCGGAATACATTCTTTCGCTTTCCAAGTCCAGTCCATGGTTTGTACCGCCCGTAGTGCTTCTGCCTCACTATGATGCCTCAAAAGAAGTGATTCTTTCTCGCGTTCCCATTTATCGTCAGTATCCTGGGATGAAAAAGTACGAAAAGTTCTCTATAGAAACCAATAATAATAACAACAAGTGTATAAGAACAATCGCTAATGGTCCTTACATGCCGAAAAGACTGTGAACAAACTGCAATGAATCTGTCCCACCACATATGACATGAGACCTACTTGTTCCCACAAATGAGCTCATCTAAATAAGGATAAAAAATAAATAATAACAAAAAAGCTTCCAACATACTTTTATTGTAACATTGATTCGAGGTGATTTCTCCTTACCTCACTCATAGACTCACCTGCAACCACGATTTGAATAATCGACCATTATTGTACCTGCTGGGATCTTTTACATTGTTATCGAGAAGAGGGTTAGCTGCGGTCATTCCTGTCCGCGGGTTATATAAGTTTGACTCAGGATCAAGAGTGTTGTATATTTCCATATCGCGCAGTACTGTAGTCACCGATAGCGGAATCTGAATAATACCATTCGATAATAAAAGAAACATAAAAATAATTATCACAACATACAAACAGATTAGTCTAATACCAACAAAGACAATGGCTATTAATATAAAATCACGTTCAAACGCTTAAACGTTCATATAATTCTACCATGCTTGAATTGCTAACGCAACTGTTTTGCCACGAGATTTTTAATTTTCACATAGATACTTAGATTTTAAAATAACTGAACATGCGAACGTTACACACATTACTTAGGATACAAATAAACTTTATGACTAACCGTCTGACCAGCAGCAGCTCGGGCTTCATGAGCATTTACACGAAGAATCTCCTGCTCAGCTGCGAGCACCAATTTGTCGCGCTCCATGAGCTGTTGTAGGCGCAGCTGATAACGTGCAGTTTCTTGTTCTACAAATAAGTCTCTCAGAGGAGCCGAAAGCCCGCATGGCGGAGGTGACATCTCAATTCCTTGACGAGACGCCGGGTTGCCCTCCAATGCATACGTGCATCTACCCGATATCAAGAACAAAAAAGTGAGGTTCCTACGATACTGCGTGCGAAAATACTTGAATGCAAAGTAAAAGCTATAGCTTCATTGGATCTGTGCATTGAACTAGACCATACATTAAAACTGTTTTCGACAAGCCTCAAGAAAAACAAATATTATCGACATTCACTCAGTACTCAGGGTCTCTTGTGCATTTGAAGAAAAAAAAGAATCTTTTTGGTATTATACTTGTTCAATAGATAATCCTTAAAGCTAAACGGCATCTTCGGTCGAATCTCCGCACTGATTTGGGCTGCCCGTCGTTTGTCTACAGCACGACGGATGTTTTTGAGGGCTTCGTACGGATTGAACATTGTCGATGGTTCTCCAAAGTAATCCTTTTCAGGAGGGGGAAGCAGCTCCAAGGCCTCTTCGTCGTTAAGTGAAGTTGATGTTCTGCGTTACCCAAAGCACAGATCAACACAAATAAGACAAGAATAGGATACTACAGCAGGTTTTTGGGTACAGGATGTAAGGAAACGAATTGTTCAGTTTAAAACTTAACTTACAATCTTTAGTCTCATTTAGCGGTGAAACCGGATGGCTATTAGCACTCGCTATGCCTTTGGCCATCGAACTCACAGCTAGTCACACTTAGGCAAATTAGCTATTTGCGTGCGACTAGGCTATAGTAAGGAACGACTAATCAGGTTTATTACTATTAATTGTATCCAGAACACTTACTTGTCAGCATTACTGCTTCCTCGATTGTCGCCGCTAATACTGTTACCGGCAGCATTGTTCTGAGTAGCTCCTGTACTTCGAGCGGATTCTCTCTGACCACTATTACTTGCTGCAGCTGAGCCACGAGTGTTACGAATTTTGCGTTTTCGAGGGTGCGTTTTACCGCTGGATGGGGCCGGTGCATCATCCTATGACACAACCAACATGTCAGAGGGCAATCTATCCTTGGGACAGCATTATCTATACAGCAACTTACCATGGTGAGCACAAAAAGCCTTTGCGCAATCGTGAATCACACCATTAACTTTTTTGCTCCCGAGTATTCATAAGCATGAGGCTTCAAACAATTATACCAAAAATAACAAACTGTACACTAGAGTTTATGAATATATCCGGTGCCGAATAATAATAATAAAAAGCTCCTGCGCCTACCTCATCGTTGTTGTTACTGTCATGTATTTGGGCCCTCTGACTACTTCGCGTTACCCGTTTACTTTCTTCTCGCCATTCCTTCGTTTCGAGAGGTGAATTGGCCGCCGGACTTGCTGGTTGTGGAGAATTACCTATCATTAATGTAGCACAATATAGACGACAAGTACACAGCAATGGACATAATTTAGTAACTCGCATTGTTGTTTATCTGATTCATCACTATTTGGTTCCACCTCAGCCAATAATCTTTGTAGTAAAACAAAATTATCAATCAGTGTGTATGCCTCGTATGTAATTTCAATGTCTAGTGGCCACGCAAGCCATTCTTTTCATTTCAAGTATAAACCCCGGTATCTTACAAGGCTAAAAGAGATGTTCGGAAATTTAAACTGAGATTCGAGTAAATCGCCTACTAGCAGCTCGACACTTAGGGACATACCAGGAATAGGGCTGTTGACAATGTAAGGTAACTGTTTGGCTTTGGCTGAATTCGGTACAGTGGCAGAAACATCATTTGAATTGCTTTCTTTTTCTCCACCTGAAGCAGACGACATCGGCGGCAGGACAATCTTTAATGGCGGCACCTGATTCATAAAGCGCAGTATGCAACAAAATTGATTTTTCTATCTATTAGGATAAATGATGGCAGATATAGTAATTAGTACCAATAACTCAATATATATATATATATATATAGATTGTTAATTTCTTCAGTGCCAAAAGCCTTTGAGTAGCACATAAGGTACAGTTTAAGCTTATGAAATGCATCATTTGTTGCATATCTTACCTTTAAGTCACCCGATGCAATGCTGTCCTTATCACCTCCTTCGTGATCGCTTCCGCTGCTGGCATTGGCATTGCTACTGTTGATAGTGATATTGCTACTGTTAGTAGTATTGTTATTAGTGCCATTGCTGTTATTATTGTTACTATTATTGTTTTTATTGCTTCCGCTACTGGTGTCGCTTCGTTCTGCCGCCTTTCCACCTGCAGCAATACCAGGAGGTCCACTACTCACTCCAGAGTTCGCAGCGCTGGCGCTGCTTAATTCGGCGCTAGTACTTTCACCATTACCTCCGCTACTAGCGCTGTTCTTGTCACTGCTTTTTTCAGAAGTTGCCCCAGAAGATTTATCTGCAGATCCTTTGTTGTCGCTATTGTTTTTGTCTATTGAGACGGCATTCCTCGTATCTGTGCCTCCCTTATCACTTTTGCCGCCACTACCAGACGCAGCTGTGTCTTTCTCCGCTTTTCCGTTATTAACATCATCTTTTTCTCCTTTTTCGCTACCGCCCCTGTTTTCTATATCCTTGCGGCCCTTCTGTTTTTTCGGCCTTGGAGAACGCGCAGCCGCCTTTATTAGCTCCGTTTTGGCACGGTCCGATCTACAAGATATATTGGAAATCACATTTAGTTGTCATAACTTGGCTTTTCTCTATAATATAACAGCGAAAGATCAGTCACAGACATTGGAAGCTCAGCATCAAGGCACGCAGCAGTAAGCAAAGTTTTTTTTTTGAACTCTGATCACTGCGGCAGTGATCCACTCTATTTATTCAAGCAAACTGAACACTAACCTTTCAGATCTTCCTACAGTACTTGGTTCCGACAGTGAACAAGAAGCTGCTCCGCTTACCGTCGCTGCGGGAGAGTTATTGTCTTTATCGAAACTTTTACGACGCTTTTTGCCGGCACCGTGAAATGAACCTTTTGAAGAGGGTTGTTCGCTGGTGTCCATGGCTTCTCCGGCGTCGTCTGCCCTTTGCTCTTGTTCTGAACTTGTACTCTTTTGGCCACCAGAGGACGAATTTATGCCACCACCCTGAAATCGAAGTAAAATCGAGGTGAAAAACATCTTTATTTACTTAGAGGTACGGGAAGGATGTCCGCATGGTTTTTATTATTGAGGGGACCATACTCATAGATCGGCCTGCTTAAGCACCAAGCATAGAGCTGTTGGTAAGCTCAGTCTCCTTTAATATGCATACTCATAGCTATACATATTAAAGTAGATTAGCGAGATCAAATGATTAGATTAAAAGAGATTAGGAGCATATACTCATACTTGAACTGGTATGACCAAAGTAGTTCCCGAAGCTGCTGATAACGCAGTGCCCGCGTCCACTCCCTCATCTGAAACGCCGGTGTTACCGCCAGACGAGCCACCATCTGTCACCGCATCGGAACCGGTTCCCGTCAAAACCATTTGCCCCTGACCGTTTCCACCTCTGCTTGAAGTGCTGCTGTTGTTTCCATCTTGTTGTTGCTGCTCACAACTACTGTCCTGTCCACTGCCACGGCTGGATGTAGCTGATACAGATGGAGCAGAGGCCTCATCCGACCCTGATCCTGCTGTAGTAACGGAAGACGGTATAGCAGAAGCATCGTCACCACCCTTAGCATTTGCGAGGCTTCCATCTATTCCCTGAGGTTCAGCTGCCCTCCCAGAGATACCTGTTGCCCCTTCTGAGGATCCCGAGGAAGATCCACCAGAACCAGCAGCAAACATTTGCGAATCTTCTTTCGCTTGACGAGATCCAATCAAGCGACTGTTATTACACAAAATGTTCGACACATCACCAAGTTAGCACGTACAAGGCTTTCTAATTATGATCATTCAGTGCGTTTAGGTAAAACCGGCTCGATAGGAAATATAAGTCAAATAAAGTAAGGTTTATGCTCCTCATTAATGTCGTCCTGCATTCGAAAGATTTGTTTATAAACTTTATACATATGGCATGTATAGATATCATGTATATATTAAGGCGATACAATTGTATTTTTCGAAACATAAATAAACTACGTAAATATGGCATGTATGTTCATTGACCTATTGTTAGGGCTTGCACTGGCTGCTGCTGAAGATCCGCCTACTTCCTCTCCGGCAGAACCACTACTACTATTTCCAGTTGTCGACCCAGGACCACCCGCTGAAGATGAAGAAGCCGAATTCGTTTGTTGGCCTTGTTGTTGTTGCTGCTGCTGCTGCTGTTGTTGTTGTTGCTGAGTGGCTCCAACTGATCGACTACTACCGCTGGAGTTCCCATTATTTTGTTGGGATTGCTCTGAGGATGCCATTCTTGCTCCGGCAGTAAAGCCAACGTCAGTTCCTAATACTTTGGGACTGGATATCTTAAATAAACTGCGTCGGCGATTTCCACCTACATTAAAGCATAAAAAATAATATTAGTTTACGAAATGTGTGGTAGTAATTGGTAAAGCATCATCTCCAAGCAAAGGCATCGTGCCTCAAAAATTCGGGCAGTTCAACTGACAGCTTAAAAACATATCATCGCTTTTTAGGTACAAAAAAAAAACAAGGCAACACTCTCTAATATACATGTAGCTAGTCTCGACATTATATGCTCAATTGTAACTTCACAAGTCGTAAGATGTAGTGCTAAAAATGACAATAATGTAATACAAATAGCGGTAGTAAAGTTAAAGCAACATTTCGTTTGGTGTTAACGAGTCTTTTTTCATGCTTCTCATCATTCTTTTTCATCGTTTTTCGTGCTTAACAGTTTACCTCGAATAAAGCATTTCATAAATGCTTTGATGTATCTTTTGTTACGCAGAAGGTTTCAGTTTTCTAGATTATTATTAGGTAGATATACACGAGGGACTGAGTGCACATGAGTATGCACATAATAAGACTTCGTAGGAAATCAAGCAAAATTCGCTTTGTGACGGGGATAAAAAGACAAAATCAAAAATCATATACGTTCCTTAGCGATGAACCTACCGACTGGTATGTGAGGAGTGTCCAGTAATGTCGAAGCTGACGGCGACGGTGTAGTTAGTAACGAGATGTTATTTTGGCTTTCGTCTACTTCTGCCTCAGTGGTTTCGCTAACGTTTGACTCACCGTTGCTGCAAGTCTTCAGAGAGGAAGTGGCTTTTCGAATCGTTTTCCCAACCAATGGATCAGTAGTCCTTTTTCTGTCTATCGTTGATGTCTCCGGATCCACGTTATGGCGAAGAAGAGGTTTCACGATCTAATTGCCAACGAAAGACACAATATGTTGTTGGTATCTACCAGAGTGCACCCATACCTTAAGATGATTTTAGTATACATTAACAATATGAAATGCATTTTGAAAAACCAATGTGTCATTTACGATTACATTACAGCCAGAAACCCTAATTGATTCGCATCTACAGTGTGCAGTGCGATAGCTTGCACGAAAAACCATAGAGTCACCATTGCTATCAGTTTATAAGCCATATTTTTCGAACAAAGTTATCATATTATAACTAACAATCAGCCGGGAAATCTAAATACGAGGCCTCTGAGTAAAGGCTCAGCATATATAGCAATAACCGACCTCGATTCTGTGGGTCTCAAAATCTGATTAAGCAGTTTCTTCAGTAATAGGTATGAGAATTTCCGCCGAGAAAGAACACATAAATGGGGGAGAGTTATATAGAGTGACGACGAATACATACTGAATCAATCTGTTGTTAAAATTCGGGTAAAATGCTGCGTGTTTTTATTAAGCACAGAAAACCGAAGTTATAAAATCTATGTCCACGCCTCAAACCTTTTGTATATCGAAAAGTCGCGACCTCTGTACCGTCCTTGTGTGTACACGTTGATCTCAATTACAAGTTGAGAAAGCAATCAGTGTAAACCGTTCCTTTCATCCTCCCGACGTAAAAAGATACGTATTTTTAACAACATAAGCTCACTAACTTACCTGTGATTATGTGTCAAACGTAAACATGGCCCTTGACATCTTTCTTTTGGTATATTTGCTTTCTTTGTTCAGATATTAAATGACATTATATGCAAACCTAAGCGTATGAATGGACTACGCCGTAATACAATAGCATAACTCCGCAAAATCTGCTTAATGCGCGCGTCAACTTGAGTCCCTATGGCAATTTGTGCTATTTGTATCATAATTTTTCGGATGACCTAAATAACGTTATTTGCCTAAATAACGTTAGTAAGTATAAAACAATGAATGAATACAAACTTGCATCGTCTAGCTAACTTTAAAAACCAGGGTTAGCTTCATAAGGCTCTGTGGATACGTAGCTTCAGATTGAAGCAATGCAAAAATGCCGCTATAAGAAACTGTTTTTCGTCACATCCAATTTTCTAATCTATTTTTCACATGCCACGGTTGTGACATTACAATTCCAAGTAGTACCGCAAAACAAACACGTGCAATGACCGGCATTAAGAGTGTTCGGAGTAAAAGATCTAAGCATGCATAAAGTATACCTGTTTATAATCGCCTTGTACACTCGTTACGTGCAATGGTGTCTCGCCTCTAGTATGTCGTTTCTCACAACTTTTTCGGGTGCTCTTCGGCGTCACACAAACTTCAGCCAACTCAACGCCCGATTCGATGAATCTAACTGAATTTTCAAAATCTGAAACAGTTACATACATAAAGGTCAATCGCCACAAACTGAGTTCGCATAAACTTCTACTTTCCATAAACTAGCGTTTAGGACCCGACTTCCAAAGAATTGGAAACTGCGTTCAATGATAAATAAATTCGAGTCATAGATGCATTAATCAATTTATCTTACATTAATCTCTTATCAGTTATAACAGAGCCTGGCAGACATTATACTATGAATTAGTGCGTGTTGCGCTCGCTTATGACCACAACAAGGGTTACAAAATGACATAAGCTAAATCAGCACACTAGTGTATGTCTATCAGACAAAATGGTATTTTAAAGTCCAAGCATAAACGGACTAAACTATTTATTATAAACGTTAAGATGCATATTGAGTTGAATAATGATAAATATTAGTTATACGATTGTGAATAGCAGCAAAATCTATGCGGCACTTTAACTATATGCCGGTGCAAGCAGTACGTAATCCATTTCATGATTACAATTGTAACATACCACTTTAGAAAATTGTTAATCAAGACTTACTCGCTGTAAGTCCACTGATATAAGATTTCAAGCATCATGTCAAATTAATTCAAATTAAATATGCAGTATTCAGAAATCTCGCTTACAAAGCTTTTGGGTAAAACACTTTCGGTCTGAGAATTTTCTGAATGGATGAATGAATTTTAGGAATCTTGTTTACAAAAACAACCGGCTAATGCTTGCTGCTTTTAATAAGAGCAGCCGCTAACAGCGCGCCATGTTCAAAATATACTGAGGGTATAGTAAATGAATCAAAGCACCTATACAGCTGAGTTCCTTAAAAAATGATCGGAATTAAAAATATTTGTATTTCAAAGACTAGCTAAGCGTGAGCCTTACAGGTGTGTACATTCATTTTTAATTTATCTATCTAAAAATACCCACTTCTGTGGCAATCCCGCAAGTGGCTATGTCGATCATGATATCTTATTTTATGGCTCAAAGCGTCATCTTCAATCACATAGCTGACTCATTTCAAACATTAGATGAGTCAGGGTTGATCAATGAATGGTCCGAAGATGTTATGCTACGGCATTTTCGTTGTACATGAAGTAAATAAAGATTTCTTACTCATTGAAAACATTGAGAACAGCTACGTATGCCTGTAGGAGACCTTTAAAAGCTAGCTTTAGTTTGATATTTCAGTGATAATCCAATTCCTTATGCATCCCATGACTTGCGTGGGTGTAACAATTGGATGCGAAAAGCGTGATTGGAAACAGAAATCACTGTATTAGTTATAAAAGTTGACATATACATGTATATCAATAATGCTGATGTTGTTCAGTTATGCATAAAATAAGTTGACAATGATCGGGTGGTTCGAAATTCTGTAATTAGCGTTCGCCCCCTGTTACACCCATCCACTACCTAATCCTATTTTATTGAAGCTCCGACCATCAGTGATAATAAAAAATAAAATTTTAAAATTTTGGCTGTTCATCGAAAACGTATATTTAATAGGTACGCTACATTTATAAGTAATCACCACGTTCTATTAATAAATAGTTTTGCACTATAGACTGCCTCGACCGATCTTTTTTTAATAGCTTGTGTATATTTGTAAGGTCTTATCCGTAGAATATAAAAAAAAATTCTTAGAACTTTGTTGCTCACTCCCTAATTAATATTTTAAGATACGCTGTAAAAGTACCATTTTGTAATTAAGAACCATTCTGCTTTATATAATTTAGAAAAATGTTTATGAAATTATTTACTTATTTATTATAACTTTGATATACTGTTTGATTTACGAAGACAAGTTTATAACTATTGATATTCATACAAGCATCGTCTCAGATTGCTAAGAGGTATTTCCTTTACTCATATTAGGAATAACTGGCTCTAGTTTGTAACGAAGATGGAATTGTAAATATGTTAAGTTCGATGGTTCCGCGGAACTCATTAATTAGGTGTAAAAATCATACGTTGTTTCTGCACAACTTATTGATATATTGAAACTCAGTCAGATGGTTGAATAAGTTCTCCATGAACAAGAGAAATCTATTGTGGCTAACGTTAAGTATTGCTTTAACAATTACTATATCTTAGGCATAAATGGCTCACCAGATTTTGGTGTAGTATGTAGCTGTTGTTGCCTAAGGATTTGGTGAAGCTGTTGTCTTTCAGAGACAGGGGCTTTATTTGATGAATTGTTACGTGCACCACTACCTGAAAGCAATAGCACAAAGAATCACAGGTATATGCAATAATTCAAATAACTGCCTAATAATGTAATCTGTTTCACAATTACACTATGGGTAACTGATTTATTTAAAACGATGGTGTTCGATATTTCGTTTAGTCTTTTTTAAAAACTGTTTGAAATTCGATAAACGTTCTGTGCAAATTACTCGTTACTAAGTGGAATAATTTAATTCAGGATGTTTAGTGTCAAAATACAATTTTGCAATAAATTACTTGCTTCGCTTCAGAGACTACGTGAAAAGATATCACTAACCATAATTGATGATAGGATTTCCAACTATATGGGCGATGCGCAAAAGTGCAGAACCTCCACTAGCTGCCTAATATTATCTTACTTAAGAAGTTCCGACATATACTATTATAAATCAAATATTATAGCCTAAATATATAAATGAATAGTCGTCTATAGCTGTATAAGCGCACTGAGAGTGTCAATGAAGCGTTTATCCCTGCCAGCCGATGACAAAGTTACGCGAGTCGTTTTGGTGGCGACCGATGCGAGTGAAGTTACAAAAAAGTTGCTCGAACAGATGGGAGCTTGGGAATATTACCCAATGGAGGTCGGCGAACGGTATCCCAAACGATAAGCTGAGGAGTACTAGTGGTTTGACAAGGAATGAAAATGGATACCGGACCAAGTCGTAAGACATTTTCAAGGATCAGCCCTGGCTTGGTTCGATTTCAGGATCGGTGCAAAGGAGAGGTGGGGAAGCTAATAAAGTTGCACAAACACTTTCCTTCGGAAGAAACGGACTTTCTAGATACCACTTTGCAAAGGCTGGCATTACTTTTAGCGACTTCTCCAGTCTCATACTCAAGGGAGCCTTTCTAAAAATATAAAGCTAAATAAAAACTATAAATATAAAATAAAAATTCTTTGCGCGGCATTAAAAAAAATACGGGGACCAGCGGTGTTAGGATATTCTTCGCCACAGCATGGGTGATTTTACATACTGAGTGATTTTGGGTGGTTCAAGACTATATGCCATAGGAGTCTAGCACTGTCTGGTGGAACAATTCCGGCGAATTGTGTAATTTCATTATGTGAACACTACTTGGCTTGAAAACGGATGAGAGTGCGGCTCGGACGTCGGATCAGCCTAAGGCCCTTTCTTTTCGAACTTCCATCAGGGTTATCAAATGCACGGGAAGCTGTTTGCTATCTGATGGATCAGTATTTTCCAGGCGGAAATATTTGGTCCAGAGCACTTACGTACGTAGACACGATGTGTGCGAGCTTGCACAAAAACCGCAAGAAGTACGTGCGGATATACCTCTGGAAAAAAATAAGCACAGACCCTATCGGGAAAAACAATAGCCGAGATCTGTGTGTTGCACCGAGTGTTGCAGCGACAACAGGGTATACGTCAAAACGACGGGACGCCTCGCTTGTGTAGGCCTAGTGCTGCCGACTTGTGTACGAGCGTTGAAAGCTGAGAGTTGAAACCTATCAGTCGGCTTTGAGTATAATGGAATACCACCCGATACGCACACAATCGAGTTAAACCCACTAGGCGATAAAGAATATCGGCCGCAGAATAAAGTCATTCCACCGGAAAAACGCGACTCAGTTGTAATAGATTTGTATGTACTTATTGAATAATTTGATTTAATGTGAATTAGTATATGCCCACGGCTATTATTTAGGGCGCCATATGCCCACGATCATTATTTAGGCCGCCTACCATATATATATATATATATGTCAGCAAACGACAAAGCAAGCTTAGTATGCTTCAATAGTAGGTAGATCCTACCGTTTTTAGAACTCTCATACAATAATTTTGTGCAATAAATTTCAGAACAAAAATCACTCCATTGTAATCATTTTAAGTCTTAGCAAAAACGTTGGCGATACTCTTTGTTTTCAGCAGGATTTTTTGCCTAAGAATAATGTCTTCCTCCATCGCTGCACCCTTTGGTGCGTTCCACGCTGCAATATCAATTATTTTTTCAGTATCCACCTCGACCGAGAATTGATTTAAATTGGTATTATCTGAATATTATCGATCTTCATAAAAGATTGTAGCGAAAAATTACCTTACAGCTGAGTGCGTGAGTAATTAATACAATCTATTACATCGAATGGAGCATTTTGACAAATACCACATCTATCAAATGGTATGAAACGACGTGGCCAGCGCGTGCCCTCGAGAGTAAAAAGATCGGCTCAATCAATACAAAAAACTATTATCTCAATCTTGTGCCAAAGCTAAACGTAGCTTCCTGACATCTCTCATAATTTCATCCAGTTTCCCAATCAATCAAAAGCACGCAATGCAGAGTCAATCGTAACATACTTACTTGAAGCGGAGTTTCTATGAGTTGGTCGTGAGTGAGATGGAGTTTTATATGCCGACTCCTCCTGAAAATTGTATTCTCTGATTAGTTGTAAGTCAATGTAACGAGCTGGTATTTTTCTGTGACTGGACAATTAAAGTACTACAGTTGTAGGGCTAGCCAGGCGTTCATATATTAGCTGCCTGCAAGCAATGCAAAATTGTGCAATTACTGCAAAATACGTGCTAAGAAAATTCAGTTGTATTGACAAATAATGAAATTAATACTAATACCACCAGTTCTTAGATTGCAATACATTTCATGAGGTTTGTTTTTGCTCTAGGATCTATGAAAAACCTACAATATCCGGGATCAGATCCAGTAAATATACGATAAATATAAACGAAAAGGTAAGGCTCAAAGTAGTACCATTCTGCTAACTTTTCTACTTGTAAGACTTCTTTCGAATTTTAATTGTTATTCAATATTTAATATGATTAGAGTGTGACTTACTCGTATAAAAGTACTTCCATTTAAGCTACATAAACTAAGTATATTTTGGTATCTGTCGAACTCATAATAGTTATATCCTACTTTCTATAATAACTGTATCCTAATTTCCAAAAACCCTTCTTCTAAAAATTTTACAAGCGAGTTCTTGGAAACTACTTAGCTATTCTGTGATTTCTAAGAAAAGATATTCATTTTAGTATCGTAATAGTTTATAAAACCATAATCAAGAAATCAATCTTAAACATCATGAAATAAGTAGCTGCTTCTAAAGACTCGACGTTAAAATTCTAGTAATAGAAATTCGAGTAAATAGTAACTTTGTTATATTAACAAAACGTTGCTGTTCCTATGAACGCTATGTTCTCCCATCTGATCGTTGAACTACAGATTAACTAGACAAGTAAACATTCATTATTCAATTGAACAAGGATTTTACACTTACCATTGATAAATTGCATATTAATCGTATCCTGATATACTTTAAAGGCCAACTTAAACTTCCATCATACACTTCTGTGAAGACCGTTTCTCTCTACCTCTCTATTATGGACAACATTGGTAACTAATCGACATAAGAAGCTAAACTCATCCAACGATTTGCACGTTATACAATTATATCGCTTGTTGTTACACCGGCATTTGTGCGCGCCAAAATAAATGTAAACAAGCAACTAATTGGTGGCTGCTGATTGACGTGTCTGCACCAGTTGTAGGGATGAACATGTTGACCATTTTCCCTCTCACTAATGCTACCCCAGACTGCTGAATAAACAGATCTAATTACATCGAAGCACTGAGTTATGATAAAACCTATTGGAAATTCATGCTCAGGGAGGTACATACAACTTGATTGACAGTAGTAAACAAATATGGCATCTACACTGATTTCCCGCCATTGGCTGTTACTAACCGCTTGTTGTGTCAGAGAAATTGCGGAGCCCAGCTTTGGAGCTCAAAGTAATGTTTACATATTATATTGTTGTGCGGAAGAGTGCCGGGTAGTCAGACAGATGATGAAAATTTAGTTAACGTTACTACTCGTCGAAACTCATAGCACCAGCAGCGCTTGATGTTCAAAACGCAATTGTTGACGCGTGCGAAAAACGACCAGCTGGTACTAGTGTAATTATGATGCACTTGGAAGATTTTTTCACTTAGATCATTGTTTATTTCATGCAGTGAGTGTGTGATTCTTGAAATTTTGTTTGAAAGTTCATATAATTTCACATCTAACGTATTACGTGATAGTATACCTGTAACTGAACACTGAAGACGTTTGGACCCTTACCAAAGACTAAGTGGAAAAAAACAATGGATAATAAAGTTTAGGCTTGCTGAACGCAAGCGTACGTAAATGCAAGTACGTGGAAATGTATACCTTTTTAAATTGGTTACACTAAATAACTGATATGATCTGTGGTTTAAGGTGGACTGTGTAACGGAAGTTGCAAAATTTAGAAGTTATATGCCCATGTGACATGAATTCCGCAAATTTTTCATTTAAAATGTTCGGAAGAAAATTATATTTGAATACGTTTACCGATTGCATGAGAAATAACAGTCAAAGAATGGATCTTCTTTCTTGTAGATTTAGTCCGATGGCGACGTCGTTCTTGATTCAAGGGGCCGAGGCTAAGGTGTACGAAGGTACCTTTTGTGGTCGGCCAGCGATTTTTAAACAAAGATTCGTTAAGACATACCGCCTGCCCCAGCTGGACGAACATCTTACCAAGGTAAATATATTGTTCGAGTAAACCCAGAAATAACTGTTACGTGTACGTTTCACAATTATCCCGTATTAATCTATTAAACAATGTAGTGCTCGCGATGCACCACGAACAACCAGTGCGATAGTCATGAAGACATACAACGTGCTTCCGAATATTTAATGTGCAAGGTAGGCCGGAATCTTATTAATTAGCCTTACTCAGTAAACGGTTGCGAACTTTAATAACAAAGTATTGATATTAATTAAAAGCGATAAATTTGACAATATATACAGCAGATGTAATAATGTTTATGTCTCAGCTATATAGTGAACAAGAGCATCCATCATTATAAGCTACTTGACTACAGACTGAGAGAACCAAAAATTCCTGGTAAACGTGTTCTGATGTTTCTTACGTCACGCGTTTCTTAAATTGCGTTGATTTCCGATTTAAAGGAGCGTATGAAGAACGAAGCGCGAAGTTTACTTCGTTGCCGGCAAGCGGGAGTGAAAGTTCCAGCTCTCTACCACTGTAACCTTCAAAAAAGAATCTTAGTCACTGAAAAACTGCTCGGACAAACTCTAAGAGAATGCCTAAAGGACTTAGAGGTCGACTCAAAATATGATGCGATCGACAAATTGCTTCAAAAGGTTAGCTAATTTATTATGCCTGCTTAAGCACAAAGAACTGTTGGTCATGTGTAGGTGCTAATTATAAAAGACGCATACAATATCTTAGTTCACAATACCCCGAATATTTGCTAACAAAATGATAGATTTAAAACAAGTATTATAAAAGACCCGTTATGAGTAAGTTGTATCCCTTTACAAGCAAACCCGGTGAAATCTGAAATTTTCAATTTTTTGCTTTATTTGGGTTAGAACGATTATTTTTTTAATGTGTTAGAGATTCTCTCATTTATATCTTATCCACCTACCTCAGCACTCTGCCAGCTTCTTAATAGCCATATACTATTCGCGTTCCTATATCTGGTTACTTCATCTACGGCTTTTCGAATTAGATCGATAACCAATTCGTTTTTTTTTTTTTTTGAGGAATGGTAGCCCTAGTAGCCACACGGACTTAGATTGGGGGAATAAGTAGTTTGAAGCCTATGTTGGATATTTCTCTGCTTAATCCAGAAAGTAATTTGCGCAATAGGTTTGACGTTATTATCAAGTAACCAGATTGCGTGCTTTGGATTGTCACGCCAACGGTCTGCGAATTTCTTAAGGAACTCCTAGCAGGCTGCATTCAGTGTTTCATTTTCGATAAGTATCTCATGATAGTAAATATTCTTGATGTCTATTGCAAGTACTAGAATTACCTTACGTCCGAACCTACTCAACACTGCCATTGAACTCTATTTCTCTCCAAGGCAAGGTCATTCTCATACCTGCTTTTTTTCCGATTGAAATTTAACATGCCTTATCTATGGCGACTGTATTTTACTAAGCTGTCTTTTTAATTAAAATATCGCAAGTTGTAGGTGGAATACATCACATGCGTCTTCAATTGGCTTGAAGTTAATTCACGGGGGACTCATCTATTACGCAATTTACGCATTTTCAGGACTTCCGTTAAAATTTTGTAACACGTTACATGTGGAATGCCAGTTTTGGTCGACAGAACTTTTAGATAACGAGCACTCCTTTCGCGGAAAGCCTTCCCGATTGTGGCAATTTGTTTTTATCCTTCGAATCCCTATACCTAGTTACCCCTTTTCTGGTATTCAGCACTTCAATATCCGTTCCTCAGATGTTCACAGCACTCACGTACGACCTGTTTTCACCAATCGCCAATCTATCTGAGCAGCGCTGTGACCTTCTAAAAACAAAAACTTAACCACTTAGTATTGATTTTCGAGACCAAAAAACAAAAAAAGTGAAAAAATGTTTTTCCTTCTTAGTTTTCGATTGATTTTCATTCAGAAGTTTCTAAAGGACTGGAGTATTTACCGCTTTAAATGAATTTGTTAACGGCGCATAGCTTAAAGGTCATTAAATTTCAAAGTTTGCCGAAAAATCGCTTGTAAAAACTTAATTCTTTCGTGATTATATCTACACATGACGGAGAAAACAATGGGAAAGTACTTTGTATTTATTCACAAGAAATGCATGGAACTTGAAAACTAACTACATCGCTTTCGATTACCTAGGTGGGTGAAATCATTGGGCTAATGCACAAAAGTCACATCGTGCATGGAGATTTGACCACTTCCAATTTCATCACATTGCTTTTGCCGTCGACAACAGAAGAACCCAATGTAGCGGTCATCGATTTAGGTCTTAGTGGAGTATCAGAAAAGGTCGAAGAGAAGGCTGTCGATCTTTACGTATTGGAAAGGGCATTCGCCAGTACACATTCACTTCTTGAAGATAGGTAATGCTTGGATGATATCTTGTCTATTGACATGCTTCTCGCTGCCTTTTTAAAAGGCTCATAAAGTTTAGAGAACATAAGGCATTGCTTAAAGATACTGTAGAGAAGTCAAAAACTTCATTGATATAATTTTTCCAGCCGCCTTTGACAGCATATGAATTAGCACTTAAACACTGTCTTACCTGTGAACTAGACAGGCTCGATTCATAGGTGGCATTGGCAAGTCAAATTATCACTCAGTTATATGAGTGGTCGTTTATTTATCTTTGTATAATACCGGCGACTGATTCCATATGTATATATGCTGTCGTAATGTATTTTAGATTTAAGGAAGTTTTAGTTGGATACCGTCATGCTATGGGGAATAAACCAGGAGGAGCAGTTTTAGTCAAACTCGAGGAGGTAAAGATGCGTGGACGTAAAAGGACCATGGAAGGCTGAACGATAGTACATAAGTGAGTCTATAGGTTCATAGTGTGAAAAGGTTTATTTTCTATTCATTAATGCCATATTAATAAAGCTTTCTAAGCACATTTATTGGTATTCATTCATTGGAAAAATGCATATCAGACATAATTTGCAAATTTGGTAGGACATTTTTAAAACAGTAATGAATTACCATAAGTACAGCGTATTTGCTATATATTTTTGCTCTGTTTTTAATTGATTGTAGATAAAAATGCTTTGACAAGGGGGCTGAGGGGCTTGGGAGAACTACATATGCACATCTTGTGAGCCTTGGCAAAGCGGGAACGAGATTGCCAGGGGGCTTTTTTCAAAAAAGAACTGACTACTGGAAGTCAGTGTGAACAGATTCTCAGAAGAGGAAGATGACGCTAACATCTCGGGTTCACAGGCAAGACTAGGGGACTCTAACCCTCCCCGTCAGTGATCCAGTTCACTCGGGACGGGTAGAGCCAACTAAGATGACCCCGTCCTGTTGATCCCGAGGTGCACGCCACTTTCTTCTTTAAATCTGTAGCACGAATACCTAAGTTAGTTTGGAGTAATATATATATATATATATATATATATAGAACTTTAGGTAATCGTCTCGCCGGAATCAAGTTTAGTCGTTTTACGATCGGCCTTCATGAGATTAGTTTTGCCATATTGGTGTTTGGCTGCACGTAAATAGTATTATTAAACTCTCTTTGAAAAAACTTCGTATACGGGTTGCAATGGCTTATATTATTATTATTATTGTTATTATGATAAACGGTTGGTTGCGCAAAAACGATACAGTAATAACGGAGGGAAGTTTAAGGGTTGGGCCCAGTAAAAAATGGACAAACTTCAAAACAGCTATATGGTGACGGCTGAAGCGGTAGCGAGCCTAGTGTTATAATCCAATTTTGCATAAATCGTGCACTCAAATTTGAGTATCTGCAAGATTCATATTCAGGACATCTTAGTAAGGGAATAAAAGTTAAGGATATATACATATGGAGATCAGATGGATACGAGGACAGTTACATGCACCTTAAAGTTTCCGGAGCAGTATACAAAAATGTTGCAAAGTCGGATTTTGTGCGATAGTATCGGCCAGGGGATGTCTAAAAAAATAAAAGAGTTCTAATGAATCAAAATAGAGATTTAGAACTGAAGCAGAGGCTGGTCGTAACTGTAAAGCTATTTTTGACTGTAAAACTTACCTTTCCTTCTGATTAACTTTCGCCAGTCAACGCGATACGCCAATCAAAGCATCTTGCACTTCATAGATGTGCACTAGACTAAACCTCATGATGCACATGCTTGCAATGGAATATGATCGAAAATTGTTAAAAGATACAATAGGTGATGTTTGTTGATTTCGTTCGGAATTCAAAGTAGCTACCGATTCATTTGTATCTCGTTTGTTTTACAGATAAAATACAGATGACTGCTTGACGCTATTAACAGAGTTGTATTTTTTTGACCGGAGATACACAATCAAAGAGAAAAATTCAAAATATCAATCATAAATAAAAATCGGTTTATCAGCCGAGATCCTCAGAAAAGGGCAACCAGCTGATTCTCAATTTTTGCATAACAATTACCATCAAAATGGACTGGTACATTTTGACGTCGCAGTCATTAACAAGCGCAGCTATCCTCACTGTGGATGGTCCCTCTCATCTCTTTAGCTGGACACATTTTTTCCGAATCACTGCCATCCTTACAGGCGCAGCCATGTGAAGCTCTAGTTACCATTACAGTATAACACTGCTTCAATTATAAAAGATCAAGCGTCATCTTGTCCATCACGAAGGGTTAAGCAAAGCACTTATTCTATACTCCGTTCGCAAAATTAACCGTTTTTAACATGTGCGATTACCACGTACATTAAGTAAATGGGTGTGCTTTTATGACATTAGAATACTCTCTTCTGTCGATTTGGGGGTATGCAGTAATTTCGACAAAACTACTCGTAAGGTTTATGCCTTTACATATCAAAACAAGAGCCTTAATTGACGTAAGATTTCAATGATAGCTCATGGAGTAGCCGTTCTATTTACTGAGTAGCTGTACATTCACAACAGTCCATTAATTAATGATTGTATACACTAATCAGTCTATTGTTATTCAAGTATAGGAAATAGATTTCTAATTAGGTGTCATTGAATTCAGTCGTTTACCTCCAGCGCAGTACTAACGTCGTTGTAAGCTATTAAATTTTCTTCAGGCTCTCCTCCAACAACTAAAATATAAAATTACAATGCAGATGCCTATTTTGTGTATTCTCAGAACGCCTTATTCATTGCTTTGAATATCTTAGTTTGTTCGCCGCTTTTATAGCAATACTTTATAAAGAACCTACCTAAAGTTACCTAAAAAGTAAGCGTGTAACCTGTTCTATTATTTGGATTGTTTAGTTATTAATTGGCAAGTTTTATTTGCCCGAACTATAAATGAATGTCTTTTCTGAAACTATCTGAGCCACTGGCAAGGAAAATTAAAAGAAATATGACTAAATTTAACAAGAGAGATTGAGATTAAAGATTTTACTGGAATCTGTGAAAAAATTTACAGCATCACTGCATTGATTTTAAAGCTTGGGAGCGCTTTACGACACAGGTCTTTAATTTTTTAAGCTTCGCCGTCTATTTAATGTCTACTTTTACAGTATATGGAGTAGACATGCGGCTTCAGAAGGATTGACAGCATTTGCTTCAACGGTAGACTTATCCCTTGTATTTTGAATGACGATCTAGTAGATCTTGTGCAAGGTGAATTATATAACGGGATAATTTTCTGCTACAGGCTATAGGGATAATAGGTCACCATTCAAAGAACCACCGATATTTACTTAGTAAAAGTGACGCTGTTCACTGATTTATTTATCAATTGTATTGTGCAGTTCCTGCTGAATTTTGTCTATCCTTCGTGGAATTGCAAGGTACGTAGAAAATTCATTAACTACTATTCCCTGTCGCAAGGACATCTTTTCTCATCGTCGCGTTTCCACTGAAAAAGTGAATGAATGCTCGTCGTGATTTTAATGAAAAATTTTTTTTATTAGCGCCCATCTCAGGTTGGGCCTTTCGAATTGCTGCTGAACCTTCTAATCAAGATCAAGAGAAAATTTGCCTTTTTAAAAATCTAGGAAAAAAGTTACCATTAGACATATAATAGAACCACCGGTTTACGCTATTTTCTATATTGGTATCCGTGAGAGCGTTCTCAAGCGCATTAACGTAGTTAACACGATACGATTCATAAGTTAAATAGAAACAACTCAATACCATGCTGCATAAACATAGATACCGTCAACAGAGTAAATTTTGTGCCAACGAGACAGTTTATACATTTATCCCAGCAAGTCGATATCTATTCTTACAAAACAAATAGATAGTTTCTATGTCGTACTTTTGTCTGTAGTATTTTTTCACATATGCAAGCTTTCATTATATTAATCTACATGTACGCGACCAAATATCAAAATTGGTCAAGTTTGCTAAGGACTTGCATGGTTTTTCGGGATGAGAAATCCATTTTCCAACGGCATTTACCAAGCTCACTCTACTAACAAAACCCTTTTACACTCTCTATGCCACTCGCTTATTGTATAGCATGTGATTTCACTTTGACTTGCAGTGGCCAAAGATATGCGAATATAGATACAAACACGATCATCGTGTTTACATCGCAACAAAAAAAATCGATAGAAACGCTTCATTTATAGTGGAGAATATAGATAGTGAACATGTCGCATTGTTTATGCATCTATTTCGTTAAAAAACCTTGGAATCCACTTAATAGGTGACTCTCATAACCGATAACAAGAAAAACTCAATAACATTTCACCTATTTAATATGTTGGAGCTGTATGGTCAACTCTGTGCAAATTATAGTGGACCGGAAGACGTCACTATTATGAAGATTAGCATACATGTTATTTTGACATATTTGATTACAATTGTTACAATGATTGTTAGAGTTTTAGAGTATATCTGAGTGGCTAGCTTTTGTAAAGCTTGTGCAGAAAACTCAATTGAAATTGTAATATGGTTACGTTTTGTGTGTTAATAATAAAGAAAATAGTGACAACGGTAGTAGACTTCATGCACATTCACAACTATATATTATTTGTTTTCTGTAGATAGTGCAGATACAGTTAACCCTGATTGGTTCTACAGACTCCCTCTATTTTTTAAACCTTCCCGCGAAGTGTGTTTGCCGCTTACGCTTACATTCTGCTGGTAGGAAAGCGCAAGATATCAGCTGTGCAGATGGCGCTACGATCGTCAGCCAACGCCAGTTCGAAAAATAAGAGGGTTTAAGAAAGCTAACAACTACACTGTGGCGACAGCAAGCAGCAACTTGAAACCACGACTTTGACTTCAACAATTGAGAAAAGATGAGATATAGTGACGGACAAAAAAAAAACAGTGAAGTCCGACAAGGACTTAGTCAATTGTCATCAGTCTTAAACGCATTCTTGTGACTGTTGCCACAGTAGCTGGTAGCATTCCTTCTCCTGTTGCCTGTATGTGTCTGCTTATCTGATATTGTGTCTCTATTTTGCGTATTGCTGCCACTGCTCCTCCTTGTCCTGCAGTTCGGGTTGTAGTTAGCGTAAGCTGTCTATCTTTCTGTTCATCTACTTATGCGATGGTGGAACGAAGGTGCTCGTGGCCATCATCATCATCACCTTGGTGTGGTAGATAGTGCTGCCTTGCTGTGAGTGATCAAGTAAGATCAATCGCGAAGAGCCTCTGTCTGTCTTCTTTTGAACGTGTCTGCGGGGGATGTGACACCAGCCTGCTGGTGCTGGTAATCTGGCCGCTGGATGAATGGAGTTCTTGAAACTGTAGATGAAAACGCGAGGAGAGGGAAAGAGTGTTCGAGAGCGAAAGAAAGAAGGTCTTTATGGCTAATAGAAACGATTGCCACACACAATTCAGACAGGCAGGCAGTCAGTCAGGCAGGCGGCTAGACAGAATCAGCTGCAGATGAAAGCGGCAATTATGTGAATGCACGCAGAGAGCCGCATAGAAGACGGCGAAGAACATGGCCGATTGGTAACCAACTAGCAACCTGCAATTTAGAGAATCCTCACTATTCCGATTAATTTGTGTATGGCCATAGCTGTACGCAACAAGCAAGCAGACCAGCTCGACTGGACAATCGACGGTCATTTAAGCTGATTTCTATTGTTGTTGACTGTCGTTCTTTGTGTCACCATCCCAGTTCCACGTGTGCAGTGATTTAAGTTGTGCTCCCCTCTTACCTTCCCCACTTGATGCTGATGATGATGATGATGATGCTTGAAGGTGCTGCACCAGGTGGGACAGCAGGAATTGGGCTTTGGTATTTTTTCTTCCGATCAAATTAAACCAAAGTGTATAGCGAATGTGTCTATTTTCTGGTCACCGTGTGTGTTACGACCTACACCCAGCTGTACCTGCTGCTATTGCGAAAAGCCAACGATGTTACTGCTATAAAGGATACATCTTATAGCTGCCGTCTACGGGTCCCATACGTCGAAAACGAACGAGGGTCAACGCGACAGTACATCTTTTCTATATGTAGCGTTGCTTGTGTTCTTCATGCGAAGAATAAGTTTATCTTGGTTTAGGTTTTTTTACTCTTTTTAGGTTTAATAACAAATGCAACTTTTGGCTGTTTGTTTAACCTTGTAGCTTAATAGATTCGCCTAAGTTTTCCAAGTTAGCCATTAACGTCCCATTTCTGCGGTCGACGTTTCGAGTATTTAGTCATCGGAAAGAAGCGGCCAACAGAGGGGAAAAAACTTGTTGCCGGAGTTTTGATCAACAGAAGCACAACGGTATTGTGATGAACGGTGGACATCGAGCTTCTTTGTGTTATCGAATTTGGCTTCTTCATGACTTTTGGTTGTCAATAGCCGTCGCAGCAACGCCTGCATCATCACCACCATTGTTTTCACAATCAACGACGTCAGCATCACCGTCCGTTTGTCACTTTTTTCTGACTAATATTTGTAATATCGTTGGGGTCATTTTTGCCGGTCTGTTTTACTTTTATTTGCATTGCTAGTAGCACCGCTACGGCTGATACCGTCTGTGTTGTACCGTAGCTTACCAGCATTTCGGTTATTATGATAATCGTCATCATCGACCTTCAAAGTTTAATTCAAGACAAAGAAAAACGAGGAAAATAAAACACAACAGAAAAGTATTTTTATTCTCCGGAAATAACAACATCAACGGAAGGAGGCCAAACAATGCGAAAAGCTAGGTTACTACGAACAAGTTCCATTTTGAAATTTCTACACTAACGACAAAGCAGGAAGTCATTTTGTAAAAAGTTAAAAATATATTTAAATTGTGTTAACAACTACAGCCACAACCACGGGACGGCTAATCTAAATTGACGTTGTGTGAAACAGGTGAGTGCTGCGTATTTCTCGTAGTATTGCTGACAACATGATTTGACAAATCTATTTTCTAGCGTGTTAAACAACGCGTCAATCAGAGTTGCTATTATTTATTTTCATCGACGATTTTCAACTTCCAAAAATGTCTGTCGTAACTGCTCGCTAGATTAGCGACCTTTTGTTTTTTGCGGCTTCATTATCTGGAAGATAGATTTTCCATGTCTTATAAGTAAAAATCCTTGTTGTGTACAAACTCTTGAAGGAAAAAGATTCTAGATTCTATTCGAAGTACGAACGAGTATTCAAACTGTGTGTATATCATGCCGTTTATTATCACAAAGATTTGTACCAGCATTACAAAACTTAAAAAACTAGAAGTTGTCCAATGAGTGATGATTGTCGATAAAATGACTACTAATAACGAATATTAATAACTTTCGTGTTGCAACGTAAGGTTTCTTGAACAACATGTGGATTATACCCCGAATGAAAAGTCATGCTAGAAAAATCAGATTTTTCTATAGACGCCTCACCTGGTGCACTATCCTGTTTGAACTGCTGACATTCTCAGGATATGACGGCATGCCATAGCGGCGAGCTGTTACAGTATTGAACGGTACAACTACACTATAATTGTGACCTCTTTAATGATTCGTCGTTTGTCTCATTCAAATCCATTTAGAAAATTTAATTATATTGTTTGCTAGAATATATATACAGAAAAATAATAAATGCTCACTTTGTGGTGATCACCTGAACTGAGTTTACGGAACTTTTACTGTACTAATGGCAAACTTGTTTTAGTCATACCGCACCGCATTGATTATGTACACAGATTGTATTAAAAGACAGCGCGGTCCAGTTGGGTAACGCGCATCCCTTGGAGTGTGTTGTCATGGTAACGGTGGTTCAAATCTCAGCGTTGGCAAAATAAAGAATAAAGTAAAAATAAGGTATAATGCTATTATGGTTTGGGCTAGTACTAACATGTGCAGTTGCTGTGCCGTTTCCTAGGTCTGTTGGAAAAACTTGAAATGAATTTCAGTAGGATTCCCAGTTGGGCAGGTCCTTCCTACTATACGTAAAAATAAGTGGTTACGAAAACTTGCTAATAATAAAGTTAAAACAACTGAACGTGCTAAATTGATTAAAGAAAGTAAGCCGCACTCACTCGAGTTGGCCAACGGATGTCATTTTGATAAATCAAACAAGTAAGGTCGATTGCTTTAATTTAGTTTCTTATGTATTTTGCTAGATATTAACAACTAAAGAGAACTTATGCTTCAGATTAGATGTTTTTTTTTCTAACAAATTTACAACGGAGTACAAACAGTTGTCACAAATTCTGCACGCTAAGCGCAAATGTTACGGCTTTTTTTAAAGTGAAGCAGAAATATTTTTATTTAGAATGTAGGACAGGGCTTTATATTTCTGCTGCGTGAGGCATCGTTACAGAGGTCATTGAAATGTCCTTCGTTGAATGATACCTAAGCGCTATGCTATGAGTGAACTCTTTTTAGTTTAATTGGCTTCTTCTGGGTCGGCGGGAAGAAAAACAGAAACGGTCGGTAAGATCTTGCAGTTTCTTTCATAGCTACATAAATGTACACGTATTATAGAAAAACCATGATAGTAATTTCGTAACAATATCAATCTTAGATACTTTGAACTCGAAAATTTGTGACAGTACCGGTTTCGCATGCATCCCGACAACCTAATGCTTTGTGTGTCATTGCTCTCCGGGTGCAACTAATCTGACTTGTTAAATAATCTACTTTAGATGAATTATCAGTATATCATCGTAAACGTTTCTTGCGGTTAGGGTTTACATGAACTTACTGGAATGCCTACGCACTCCAGAACGCACTTCTTTTAGCAGAGAATCGGTCAGTGCAAATAAGAACAGCAAGCAGGGTCTATGATGAATCACAGTCAACACTGACCAAAATAGATAAATATTTTAATCATGAAATTACATTTAAAATATTTAATATGTAGTGTATTTGTAAGTAGGTGTTTACAAATTTAACAAAAAACAGAGAATATCTGTAGTATTCTGTTAGAGTCGATTCAAATATTGATATGGTCAACGAACTAGCAAAAATGCTTTATTGCGTCGTACTAGTTTAGCTAGTAGATAGCTACTTACTGAGTTGTATAGGATCCGTTGCTCCGATCAGTGACTATAGCTTTTTGATTACAGTTGAACCGGATGTTAAAAGCTATATTATTCAAATAATAAAATGCAGCAGATGACGAATGCGTGCGATGATTCTATCCGTTGTAATAATGATAGAATAAGGATAATAGTAATAGACGATGACTCAGAGGCAGCAGCGATAAGGTTGAGTAGAAGGAAGAGGACGATGAAAATAATAAAGGTTTATCGTAAAATGGCGATGACGGCGCCAGCTGCGGCGGCGGTGGTTAAACCTCAGAGTTACTAGGTGGCATTGAAGAGCGATGCCTTCACGAACGGCAATATGCAGTGATGGCAATGGGCAACAGCATCTCCAAAATACGATGCTAGGAGCTAACAGGGAAAGAGCGAATCTTCTTGCTCGTTTACTACTGCTGCTATTGCTGTAACTATACACCTTTAGCTCACGTTGGTTGAATCCTATGGCGTTGGTGTCGCTGCGGTCGGCGTGGTGATCAGCGGCTGACCGTTGACGGCCGTTACCACAATTACGGAATGAACGATCTCGAAGGCATTGACCGCTGATGATGTTACTCTGGTTGCAGTTCTACCAGCAAAATCATGGAAAAAAAATAAAAGTCATGACACTGATGGACATGATGCGAATTCTACAACCATTTCTCGGGATTGAGGAGCATCATTTTGGTTAAAAAATTTTTTTTTTATTAAATGTAGATTATCATATTAAATAGCAATAAAACTAGAAAAAGTCTCGGACAGAAAGTTATGGTGAGCGGATTTTTCAAAAACTGAGCGAAGATAATAAACAGTAGTTTTAAAAAAAATACTTCTACGTAGGCAAGTAAAGTCTAGTGAGAATTCTCGACTGACATCAATTTCTTTGTGCTAGTATGTGCGGCTGAAGTTCAACCATGCTGTAAACCAACTTAACTGAAAATTTTATAGTATTTTCAAGAAAAATGAGCGGCATATGTGTATAACTAGAAACGCTGTTTTTTCTAGTTCAACATTCACTAACGATGGCGCTGCACGGTCTCCTTAGGAAATTATTATCGGAAAATATTATCTGCCTGAAGTTCGGGGTCCTTATAAAATTTTCGTGTGACAACAATTTACGCTTGACCGACATGTGAAAAGTCAAGCTAAGTTTAAAAGTTCTCTCTTCAAAAATTTTATTTCGCGTTTCGGAACATCCTGTGTAGAAACCGACTCATTCATGTCCAAATGCCTTGGTACGCCGTGGTTGATTTTCGTTTGACTCAACGTTACACAGTCGAAGTATGGCAATCCGCGCCACCTCACTACAGTACACGGCATATACCTATTTCGAGTAATATAATATCATACATCTGTGTTTGTTCCGATATATATGTATTAGACATATTTATCTACGCTGATTTGTCTCATTATAAAGCTCTCTAAATCGTTCAATATTACCTACGATATTAATAGGAAAAGCAACTCTTTAGCGACTTAATTGCAAATGGGTTGTAGCACTGACGGAAAGCTTGTTTAGTCATTGAACTACCCGATCGCAGCAACGTGTGCGGCACTTTATATATATGTATACATGCGAGAAGTTAATGTTTGAAGCTTATCATATATCAGGTCACACAGGTCGCTGCAATTGGGTAGCTACATTATATATAATTTTAAAATGTATAATTCTCGAGCATTTGCTGTGTGCAATTTAGTGTAGCGTAAGGTACACGTGCTGAAGACAATAACCACTGTTGACTGACCTGTACGGGGCATTTGGTTCGAATCTGTATATATTTAGTTAAGTGCATATTCCGTAAAAGAATAGCATTTAGCTAAACGAAGCTTGTGAATATGCCACCGGCGCCAATTGTTTTCCGACACGTACTGTATTGCTATTAACAAAGCGTACAATTTTATACTCATGGTGGTTTCTCGGTACCGAACTGATGTTTTTTTCTCTATTAAACGATTTTATAAGTTGGTATTGTCTGATCTGCTTACCAGGTACAAGTGACATGGCATAGAGTAGTGTATGTCCTTGTATGCGTATGCGAGGAAGAACTTTGGAGGTAACTATTGATATTTGAAGGCGGCCCAGTCTACAAAAAAAGTCCAAAGTTCAAAACGAACGACCTAATAGCACTGTGCATAATTTTTGATTTAATAAAAATGATGTCAGCGTTTTACAACGAAGGCCTTCTTGAAATACTCAGCGAATGTTGTGGGCATGTCATACAGCTTTACGTAAAGTGAAGTAAGGTCATTACTTCATTATGTTGCTCAAGTGTGAGTACCGTGGCCCCAAGAAGCAATCAAAGCCGACTTCAATTTGGCTATTGTTTTTCTTCATTTCAACACCGTCATAATTAGCCACGCCACCGTGTGGCAGTCGATTCCAATTATATTAAAATACCTGACATCCCAATAGAAAAGTGAATTTTAGAAGAACTAAATAAACGTTTTATATATTGTAACGTTCAAAAACCGTTACGGTAGATAGGCAGTCTTATCGAATAGAATGGTGATGTTAAGTGATTCTCTCGGATCCGGTACAGAGCATTGATATGAACCATTCTGTCACCGTTGAACCTCCGACGTCACAGCTGTCGTTGAATAATGAACATTATCCGTTCCTCTCAGTCAACGGTCGCTGGATGTACCGCTACAACATCAAGATCGGACTTTCAGCCATTGCCAACATGTTCCTGACTGATCCTGATTTGCGGTAGCATTCACTTCGAATGTGAATGGGTCACGTCAATCGTGGACAAAAATTGTTTGGTGATTCCGCTGAGATATTTAATAACATCAAGTGGCATCATTGAGGGGTTCTTTTCCAGCTGACATAAGGGATGCGCATCTTTGCGAT